GAAGTTGCCCCTCCCAAGTCATTGTCGTCAGCCTGTGTTGTTTTCACTAAATGAAATTACCTTGTTGGTTTATTTATTGTTTGTCATCCACTAAAATGTAAGCTTTATGAGAAGGATCTTGCTATTTGGGTTTTGCTGTAGGCACAGCTCCCAAATCAGTGCCTGAACCAGGATAGTTGTACAGTAAATATTGGAGTAAATCCTGGTCTTAAACACTAGATGTTAATGTATATATTTTACTGTTTATATTTATTTTGGGATTATTCAGGGGAGCTCAGAATATACTTTTGCCCGTAAGCATTTGATGATACAGATGCTGTATTTTAAGCTATCACTTGTAGCCTCTTGGAAACACTCAAGGCTGTTCTTAGCTTGCTTCCTGTGGGAGGCTCCAGAGTGTGAAACACCTAGGCCATCCTCAAGAGGGCTTCTAAACCAGGTACAACTTAAAAATGTACTTTTTTTCCTCATCATTAATCCTGTTGTTTTTAATGTAGAAGATAGAACTTTATTTAAGTAATTGGGAAATAAACCACATGATGGTGAAGAATTTACTCAAATTTTCTCCAACTAAGTTAATGCTATCAGAATTGGAGATGTTGACTCAGTATATTTATAGAAGACATTCTTTTGACTTTATCATTCTAATTCATATTTTCTTATTTTTAATCTATATAGATTTTACTTTATTTCTATTTCTTTCAACCATCTTCATTTTAAAGATTCAAATTTATGCCACATTTCCTACGTGCAAAAACCCTGCGTGAGTTCCTTTACGACAAAGCTTTCACTATAGTGGGAGGCTCCTGCAGGGATCCGGCTGTAGGTTGTAAGAATGTTTTCTTCTCTCCGTAGGTGTTGAGATTTGCTTTGAACTTTACAATCCTAGAATCCAGGAGATCCAAGTGGTCAAATTAGAGAAGCGGCTGGATGACAGCTTGCTGTACTTACGAGATGCCCTTCCTGAGTACTGCACTTTCGATGTTAATATGAAGCCAGTACAGCACGATTCTGGCCAAGAAGTTCCTGTTAATCAGGTATGAGTTGTACATTTGGAACTGGAAGTTCAAGTATAATATGAGCCATCTTAATGAAAACTTTTCGAAGAATTTTGCTTATGACTATCAGCCTAATTTATTCCTTTTTTTTTTTTTTTAAATATATCCTCCTTAGCTGAAAGTAAGGATGAAGCCTAAGCCCTGGTCCAAACGCTGGGAGCGTCCAAAGTTTAATATTAAAGGAATCAGATTTGATCTTCACTTAACTGAAGAGCAAATGAAAGAAGCTCAGAAGTGGAGTCGGCCGTGGCTAGAGTTTGATATGATGAGGGAATATGATACTTCAAAAATTGAAGCTGCAATATGGGATGAAATTGAAGCATCAAAAAAGTCGTGATCTAAACATGTATTTAGCTCCTTGCAGAAGATGTACTGACTCTCAGAGTATTTTTTTAGAGACCAGTTTAATTTCATATATAAGGACATAATCATTAAATCAACTAAGTATTCATTATATGAGTACTGTTATAAAAATAAAATTAGTACATCAGTTTATTACTTTAAAAAGAGAAATGTACACGCCAAGTGGTCTGGTGTCTATTCTGTTACTGGAGGCAGAGCTACAATAGAGTCAAAGTATTATAGAATCCTCAATGTAAGCCTGAAATCTGAACGAGGAAGTAGGTACACAGCCTTGACAGTGGGATCTGCCCCATCAGGCAGGCACAGCCCACCCTACACCTCCAGTCAGTAGTGCCAGGACAGCACACAGGTAGAACGTGTCTCCTTGTTCGGAGTCATCAGAGTCCCCATTCCCACTCACCTAGTACTCAGCCTTCCTGAGAGGGAGCAGGAGCAAAGGCCAGTGGCTGGGCAAGACAGGTGGCAGGACATAGTCACCTCAGGAGGTACTGGGATAGAGAAGAGGGTGGGAGAGAAGGTATCCGACTCCAACTCCCTGGGTCTCCCAACCTCTGTCCTCCCCTCTCACAAGTCCCCCTGAACCAGTGCCCACAGCCAGGCCAGGAGACCGCAGCTGTAGGGACTCCGGCCTCACAGGTCTCCATGTCTGTTACCCTTGGAGAAGACCTAAATCAGTTTCTACAACCTAAATCGGTCCTTGTCTCTTCCCTGCTTACAGTGTTTCCAGAGCTTCCCATCCCCCTGTGGGGTGAAGTCTACTAAAAGCAGACTCCAGAGCCCTGAATGAGCAGGCAGCGGAGGAATTGGAATGAGTTAGACTCACCAGCTGAGCTAAGAGAAGGAAAATTTAGAGAAAGAACCACTGAACCAAGATCCTGGCTAAAAAAGTGGAACTTGAATCAAGGAAAGTTTGAGAGAAGTGCTATGTGCCCAGTGGACACCTAAGGGCCTTCAGCACTGAGCAGCTTCTCCTTCCCTTAGAAATGCCATTAAAGCCAATGAGGTGATGGGTGACAAAAAGCTTTAAAAAGCTGGTGTTCTACAGAGCAAGAAACAAATTTTACTTTTCCTACCATACTCTCTGTTGAGCTGTCATATACTTGAGGGAAATTCATTTTAGCGATGTAAAAATCAACATATCCGGCCCCTCCCCACTCGAAAGTTTCCACTATGAATACGGAGAACATGGTGCGAACGCCAGGGATGTCAGGAGGAAGAGTGACCCTGACATGGGGAAGAGGCACAGGTGAGTGAGGCCCCACTGAAGGTAGGTGTCATTTTCTTTTTTTTCTTGGGCTCTTTGCTTAGGCTCAGGACTGGACTTGTGATGAGGAAAGAATCCCAGTTTACTTCCCCTTTATTGAAACTAGGCAACCATAGCACATATTTTACAAATTGTTTCACTTGGAGGAAACTGCACTTTGGAATTCAATCATAAGGAAAATCTTGGAAAAGATACAGTAAATGTAGTTTTCTGCTTGTCATTATGAAGCATAATTGTCTTCAGATGATACTAGAGTATGAGTACAGTCGAGAGTAACTTTCTAGCTTTTTTGCTTATCTCAGTGCACATGAAAAATGACACTTTTAGAGCATTTATACCAGTAAAGAATTGAAGGAAGTGAGAATCATGTTTTAAAATAGGAGCCTTGCATTTATTTTAAAAGATGAAAAATTTAAAAACATAGGATTTACTTTTTAATAGTCTACCATGTGTATGTTGTGTCATGACTTCTTTATCTGTTGATGGACACTTAGGTTGTTTCCATGTCTTGGGGGCTGTAAATAAAGCTGCTATAATCCTTTGAGGCAGTGTTTTGTTTCCTCAGATATATACCCTGAAGTGGAAATGCTAGATCATGTGTTAGTTCTACTTTCAATTTCCTGAGGCATCTCCATACTGTTTTTCCATAGTGGCTATAACAATTTGCAGTCCCACCAGCAGTGCAAGAGGGTTCCCTTTTCTCTACATCTTTGCTTGCATTTGTTATGTCCTTTGGAGGATAGCCATTCTCACATGCATAAGGTGATATTGTGATTTTGATTTGCATTTTCCTGAGGATTAGTGATGTTCAGCACATTTTCATGTACCGGTTGTCCATTCCTATATCTTATTTGGAATCTATTCATGTCCTTTGCCCATTTTTAAATTGAATTGTTATTTTGCTATTGAGTTCTTTCTATATTTTGTGGCCTAAAATATGGTCTATATTAGAGAATGGTCCTGCGTATTCTGCTGTTGTTGGGTGGAATGTTTTGTATATGTCTATTAGCTCCATATGGTCTCTAATGTTGTTCAAATCTACTCTCATTCTTTGTCTGAATGATCCATCTGTTGTTGAGAGTTGGGTACTAAATTCTCAACTTTTATTATATTGCTGTTTATTTCTCCTTTTAGCTGTTAGTTTTAAATGTTTAGTTGCTTTGAGTGCATAAATATTTACAATTATATCTTCTTGATGGATGGACCCCTTTATCATTACAGAATGACCTTTTTTGTCTCTTATCATTTTCAAAGTTCATTTAGTCTGATATAAGTACAGCTACTCCTGCTTTTTTATGTGTCCATTTAAAAAAAATGTATATTTTATTTTTTACTGAGAGGAAGGGAGAGGGATAGAGTTAAAAACATCAATGAGAGAGAAACATCGATCAGCTGCCTCCTGCACACCCCCTACTGGGGATGTGCCTGAAACCAAGGTACATACCCCTTCAGTCCGCAGGCCGACGCTCTATCCACTGAGCCAAACCAGTTAGGACTTTGTGTGACCATTTGCTTGAAATATCTTTTTCTGCCCCATTAGACTCAGTATATGTCTTTTTTTTTTTTTTAAACCTCACCTGAGGATATGTTTTTATTGATTTTGAGAGGGAGAGAGAGAAAGAGAGAGAGGGAGAGAGAGAGAGGGAGATTGTGAGAGAGAAATATCAATCGGTTGCCTTCTGTACATGCCCCGACTGGGGATTAAACCTGCAACCTAGGTATGTGCCTGTACCAGGAACTGTACCCACAACCTTTTGGTGTATAGGACGATGCTCCAACCAACTGGGCCACACAGCCAGGGCAATGTATGTCTTTTTAAATTTTATTTTTATAAAAATTTATTTCCAATTTATGAAAAGCAAGCGAACTTTCTCTGCCCAAGCTAAAAATGTCAGAACACATCCAACACATCAATAAAAATGCAAAGTCAGAGGGAAGTTTCCAAATGTGTATTACTTAAAGAGTAAAAAATTTTACAAATTTCATATGCAATAGAGCAATAAAATACTGTCATTTATGTAAACAACAAAGCTACACACACACACACACACACACACACACACACACACACTCTCTCTCTCTCTCTCTCTCTCTCTCTCTCTTTCTCTTGTAAAAAGAGAAAAGGTCTGAAAGAGTAACACTGAGTAACACTGAAATGAAAACAGCAATTACCTCTGGGAACAATAATTGTGTGGGAATGCTAAAGCTTTTCAGCAATGGTTTGAATCTTTTAGATGAGATTCTATTCCTGTATAATTTGTGTAATAAAATAAACTTAAAAAACACATTAATCCATTAAAATATATGCAGCTTCGAAGTTAGGGGTGACAGTGTCAGAGGTCAAATGCTGAAATCCTACAAAAAAATCCATTTTTTCCCTGATAATCTTTAGGGTTGCCACTGAGTTATTTTACAAATAGATTTAAGAAATATTATTAGTAATCTCTACTTTGAAAAAGATTCAACTCTAACCTTTGCCTCAGATTTTCTTAATTATACAAATATTTTATCCAGGAAATGAATTACATGGTCTGATACTTAAAATACCTATTTTTTTTTTATCTAAATTGGCTTTTTCCGACAAAAACTACCCAACAAGTAATGCCTTATTATACCAAAATATACACAAAATTAAATGAAAAATGGCAACTGACACAGGACATGCAAAACATTATCTTTAAATATATGAAGCTCTCATAAATCCATAGGAAAACAATGAATGAACATGTCAAAAAGAATTACAAATGGCCAAAAAACAAGTATTCACTCTCTAATAGCCCAAACACATAATTCAAATAAGATAATTTCACCTATTTAATTTGCAGAGTTAAAAAATGATTGCTGGGGGATTCCTTGGCCTCTCTTGCATTTGTGTTGGTACAATACATTGGTATATATTTCTGAAGGACAATTTGATCATCATTAGTTATCAAAGCCTTAAAAAGCCGTAATCAGTTAATACTTAACAAATAATTCATTCATTCCAATTAAGATTTCCATTTAAACTGATTTGTAAATAAAGCTTTTGATTTACACTTTCAAATAATTAAAATGAAGAGAACTAAAAGGCATTTTTGTGGATCAGGACAGAGGACTCGCTAAAGTCAAAGCAGCTACAAGCAAGGTCTCACCAACCCCTCTCTTAAATTGGAAAAGCTGCCACAAGAATCAAAGGGAAATACATATGTTAAACTCTTAACTGCCCATGTGCTTAATTTCCACAGAATCAGGAGGGCAGCCTTTCCTGAAACGGAGTGAAGGGATGAAACCCGTGTTTTGTTTTGTTTTCAAATCCTCGCCTCCATTACTAGGAATAAAGAAGCACCAGCTTTTTCGCCCCAGCAAAGGAGCAGAGTGTGACTGTACTAAAATCTACTTTAGTACTTCCCTATCAAGTTTACTCAAACTTGGTTAATTACTGGTTTAAGATGGTCTAGGTGATACTCTTCTATGAAGGATTCTGCTTGATTTAAAGCTCTTATTTTCACCAGAATAAGAATTATTTCTTTGACTTCATCCCTGAAAAACAAAAACAAAAAAAGCATTTCCCCCTTAAAAATGCAATGTTGGAGAGCACAGTGAATCATCATTTGTTTATCTGAAACAAAAACTTTACCTTCAGCCAGTATCTAAAATAGCATTATATATTCAGATGCTACTACTGTATTCTGGCACATTTTAATGTGAATGTCAAATCCAGAAAAGCACAGAGCAGATCTGTCATCAGAAATCTGAATTGTGGTGTGCTGCTACCAGCTTGTATGGGCTATTATGGTGGGAGCCTCAGTGGGAGTATTTACCCCACAGGCATCATCTAAAGCCACAACACAGGTCTGGGCTTTCTAGTTTCGGAGACGTGGTTCAGTAGATCACTACTGTTCTTAAGCCCCAAACATCCAATGTTATGAGTAAGATATGCAAAACAGAGATCTGGCTACTGTGGGTAAACACCAGGCTGCAAACTGCAGACCTGTACTTAAAAAGTATTGAGACTTTAAAAATCGCCAGGAAAATTAAAAACATGCTTAATAAGAAACTTTTGATTTACATTTTTTTTTAATTTACATTTTTAACTCTAAATTCCCCTGTTCTATAGTTTTCTGGAAGTGCTTATTTTGGAAGAGATTTACATTTAAAAATATGAACTATATAGATGCATGAGGTGTGAGTATAAAATAGTGATTCCAAAGGTTGCATATAAAAATAATCTAGTAATTCTACAGCAATAGTCTCAATAGGTATGTAAAAGTATAAGTCTTTCTAAAAACTGCTGAGAATATAATAGAATCCTTGAGCTATGCTTATGGAGGTACAATTAAATATGCATTACCTGAATTCACTTCTAGATAGTTTATGTGCAGACTGCAATAAAAACTGGATGAAGTTTTCTAGCTGGGAAATAGATGTTCTCATAGCAGAATTTTCAAACCATTTTTCTGGTAAATATGCTGCTATCTGTTAATCAAAACACATGGTTGGTTTTAGTAATGACAGTTATCATCTAAGAACTTCTGCTAACATGATGCCAGTTAATCTTCATAATGATCATGCAGGTAAATTTTGAGAATTTTTCCTTTCTTTGTCAAGGGATTATACACTTTTTAAGCAATTGTATTTTAATACTAAGAGGTTAAAATAGACTACTCTTTACGAATACCTTCTAGTGGTACTTGTAATACTTTCTATACTCTGTATTCCTGAGCCATTAAATCTGTACAAAACACTATTTACAACTAAACACCAGAAATGCCCACACATAACACTTTTAGTTTAAAACACATTTAGTATTATTTCACTAAGATATTGGGTGATCTAGTGATGGGGGAAGGGCACACAATAAGAATAGGACCACAGTTGTTTAATGATTATTCACCTTACTAACTATAGGGAAGAGGTTTTCCTACAGACCCTGGGAAATTGGGCCGTGCTACAAGAAGAAAGCAGGGCTGTAAACGGATGAGAGAGACACCTGGGCCCGATGGTTCCATTACTCAGAAAAGAATACATTTTGAGAACAGATAAAGGACAGGAGATGCTTTCATTTGGTTGCTATGCTTGGACCCTGACCCCCTCTGGTAGTTTGCCTCAGGAAGGCTGACCATTCTAAGGTCCCAGGAACAGGTGGATCTGTTTTTAACATCACAGAAAATTAACTACCTTGTTATCGGACTTCCAGGATCCTGGACCACAGACACTGAAGCCATCCCTCCCCCTTTTCCCCTTGCATGCAGCCTTTCTTCCTTATCTATATATATAAAACCCTAATATGCAAATAGACCGAACAGCAGGACAACTGGTCGCTATGATGTGGGCTGACCACCAGGTGGTGCGTGCGGACATGGTGGGCATTAGCAGCAGTGGGATGGTGGAGCAAGTGAGCGGGGGCACCAGACCAAGGTGGGGTGTTGGTTGTTGTCATAGGGGAGAGCCTCTGGTGGTTACTGAAAATTCTTTGCTCCCACACACCACAGCCCTGCCAGTGCTTGCACCTGCTACCTGTGCCACCCTGCTCCCAC